GTGATTTCTTAAAAATTATGTGTATGCATGGGTTGGTTAGTGTCCTGAAGTATGTACAAGCACCTTGCAGAGGTCAGAGGCATCAGATTCCCTGGAGCTGTCGTTTCAAGGGAGTGTGCGCTGCTCAGCAGTGGGACTGGGAACCAAACTTAGGTCCACTTCAAAAGAAGTACTCGCTTTTAATTGCTGAGCCGACTTTCCAGCCCATCTATACTGATTTTTAAACTACCTTTCCACTTGAAATGGCTTCTTTTTGAATGTGTTAATTCTGTAAATGTATTTTCTCTTCTGTTCCTCAGGCATATACATACCCTAAATCCAAGGTACTTTGACAAACAGCAGGGGAGTTTGCTTGCTCCTTTTGCCAGCCCCCAGAAGCCTGGAGTAGCAATACTTCGGTGTGCCTTTTTCAGGCTTGTCTTCTAAAATATTCAACAGGCCCTGGGTATCAGGGGAAAATTCATTTTGGAGTCACCATGAATGTTCATCTCATATAAAATGACCTAGTATTGATTTGGGGCTTTATTTTGTTGTTCGTTTATTTTTGAGATTAAGATCCTTCAAACTGGAGGCTGACTTTGAACGCCCTATGTAGCTTGAACTTTTGATCCTCTGGCCTCTACCTCGTGAGAGCTAGGATTATAGGCACGGGCTGAAGCCTGATACTTGCAAATAACCTACACACAGCCCTGTGAACACTCTATTTATTTTAGACTTTCCCCTCAATTTTCTTCTTGTAGTTTAAGTCATTGCTCTGTGACTTGATGACAGCTAACATGGTGTAAATGATTGTTATGTTGTTCAGGAATGACGAGAAATAATGGGCAAAGGGGCCTGAGAGATGACCCCACAGGGAAAAGCACTGGCTGCTCTTGCAGAAGACCGGGGTTCATGCCCCAGCATCCACATGGTGGGCTCATAACTATCTCTAGTTCAAGTTCCAGGGGATCCAGTGCCATCTCTCTGGCCTCAGCAGCACCTGCACATAAAGTCATGCATGCACATACACATAAAATAAAAATAAATGAATCTTAAAATCAAAACTAGTGAGAAAGGCTTGGTGTGGTTAAGTTTAGACTCTTTATCCCCATAAAGCTCTTCTCAGTTGGCAGGCTCAGAGACTGTGAGTGTGCAGGGGTGCCAGACAAACAGATGTCTTCTGTTTTAAAGACTGCTGTGCTGTTATGCTCTGGTGCTTCTGCTCAGCCTTATAGGCACCCCTTCAGACTAGTTCTTAAAAAGCACACTCGTTTTCCAGGCCATGTACAGATGTGCCACCAGCCATGTAGCCAGCTGGTTCTTGTGGTTCCCGAGAGTGTTTTTTTCTTTTTCTGTAGACAGGATGCACACCTATTGCCTTCCCTCCCCCAGGAGTGGAATAAGGGTCAAGAGTTGGTCACAGTTTGAAAATGTTTTCTGAGGCCCCTGAGCTAGGACGACTATGGAAGGGAAAGAAGAGCATGCTCCCAGAGGGGACCCCATGAACGTGATGGAGAAGACCTGCTGTTCTGGAGTGTTTGGTGCTAGAGGGACCAGCAGAGCTTGACTCTCCCATGTCCTGTCGCCGCCTCCAGTCTCCTGTCTCTCCTTCGTCTTGGGACACTTTCCACTCTCCGAGGACCACTCGCCTGCCCACCTCAGTCACCCTCCAAAGCACAGCTCCCTGCTGTGTCTGTCTTGCCTATCTTCAGGCCCACAGACAAGGATCCGTTGGCTGTATTTGAACCCAGAGGGCCAAAATTCTTCCTCATCCTCAGATCTTCCCCCCGGAAGTCCACCCAGTCACCTGAGAGGACTTATGGGCTGTGTAGGGCATGGACAGGGTGGAGCAAAGGCTCTCAAATCTGGGGACTAAGGTCACCCATGAAAGTGGGGTCACCAACAGCAGCAAGGGCTAGGACTCAACTGGACGACGGGATGGGCCTCACCTGGGCTTTAAGGCCCCTTTGACGCTGTTCCAATCTTAAAGGTAGCACAGACTCCTCCTGCTCTCAAAAGGCCAGCACCCCTCCTTGCCTCCTGGACTCCACCTCCTCTTCTGGGGCAGCCGTTCTAGCTGGGGGTAGAAAGGGGCGGTATGGAGCCAACTCAGCTGCTTACAGTCCTCAGCTGACTTAGGGAACATTTCCATACTTATCAGTGATTTACATAGTAGCCATGGGCCAGCCTTCACCCATATTCAAAAGGAGCACAGAGCCCTGTACTGTGGGTGCAGTATCAAGCAGCCAACCAAGGAGATATTTTATATAACAGTCCATTTCCTAACATGGCCAATTTGTTTCAATATTAAAATACTGGTTTTCAAAATATTTCTTTTATTTTTTAAGTGTGTGTGTGTGTGTGTGTGTGTGTGTGTGTGTGTGTGTGTGTGTG